CTTGCTTTGGTTATATTCTAAGTTGGTTACACAAATATGAGTGTAATTAAAATGACAACGCATTTGCTGCTGCAACTGCAAGCTTTGTACTTGTTCCCCTAACCATAGAACCGTGGATTTTTAACATCGCCACTTCAGTTTGTAACTCAGTGTTAATTTTATTCTGAAGTAGCCATGCTTGGTCGGCTGTGTGCATCCAGTTCTCCAGGTACTGAGCTGTTTGAATAGAATTATGCAAAGCTACAGAGGACATCACAACAGAAGTTATGAGTGGTGATCAAGGAAACAGTAGCAAAAATTATCATGCTTACGGCTCTACAGACATGATGAATAAGCTGAATTAGAAGTTTCACAAAATGCAAAGCAGGTGTGGCAGCCCCAGGCTCAGACAGATTAACAGGAATCATAGCCCAGGGGTGCGACCTAAAAACTATGGAAGTAGAGAGATTATGTGTTTTCAATGTGCTATGATTAATGCAGTGATATCACTGGCAAGATTTGCAGATCAATTGGGTATTGTGTACCTGGAGCTGGTCCTTCCTAGCTGCCAAAAAAGGGACTGTGTTGCTTACTATTGCTATTACTGGATAATATTCCAACCCAGATGTTGCCATTCATAAATGGGAGCGCTGCCTTCTATATCATCTCTTGAAGTGGTCCTTTCCTCCCAAGATAAGGCCAGAGGAAGAGGCGGGCTAAAGCCTACTCCATGCCAAGCAGTCTGGGCAGCAGACTGGGATTGGATCTCGGTGTTGTATAAAGAAGAAGCATTAAAAGCTTGCTGCCAAAGCCAGTGAAGTTTGTGCCATGATTTCTGATTTTCATCTTTTCCGTATAATTGACCATTAGGTCCCCAATCCACAATGTCTCCACTTACCAGTGGACCAAGACACTGGGTCCACAGAAGCGGGTAGGAACTATTGAATGGAATCTATTCTGTATAATCAGCACAATTAGGGCAACTGGGCCAGGAATGGTTGGTTAGCACACCAGTCACATTAGTAGAACCAAGACTTAATAAGTACATAATTTTTCCATAGTGACTCAACCATGTTTGAGCTTGAATTGTAAGATAGCTATGGCTGAGTGATGTCTTTGTAGTGATACACAAAGGAAGTCCTTCCAGTGGAGGGTATAATTAATGACATTATTCTGAGAGTCTAACTGTTCTACGGGGAAGTTAGGGGTCCTGGAGCCCACTCTCCCTGATCGTGACAAATCTCAGGAGGAGTGTCACTCCAAAGTATAGGTTGTACTGCTGGGGGACTGGGAACATATGCCCAGTATGTTTTTGCCTCTGCACAGGGAAAACATACTGCACAGGACATTATGGCTAACATGGCCAAGAATATGGAATCAGGGATTTTTGTCTGTCCCTGAGGCTCCAGTAGTTTCTCAGCTGCCTGCGTGGTTTTCTTGAGTTGTCCCCAGGTTATGAGGATTGATGTCATCGTGACTGCGGTCAGCCTTCTCTCCGTCTTTGCACTCAGGCTCAGCTGGCTCATGGCTCATACTAGAGGGACCAGGCCCATGGTTGGCCACCCTGGGTTCCTCCAGTCTCCCGTTCCATGGTCGCACGCACCTTGAGGGCACCCACACAGTTTGTCCATCTCCTGTAAAAACACAAGCATACCCTCATCCCTACATCAGTAAATCCACCGGACCTTTCCATTTTCCTTCTTCTGTGGATTTCCATAACATTTTCGAATAAATTTTCCTCTTTTCCTCTAACACTTGCCAATGTCTTTCTGCTGGAGTCTTATCATTTGGAACCAGGAGTCAAAAAATTTAAAGTAAATAAAGCTAAATGTAGTTTTGATTGAGGTGGTAGTTGGCCTCTTATACCCGCTTTTTGTCTTTTCAACATGCATTGTAATGTTTGATGTGACCGCTCTATAATGCCTTGTCCTCTGGGATTATAAGGAATTCCTGTTTTGTGGGTTATAGCCCAAAGCTGTAAGAAATTTTGAAAGGCATACTAGTGTAAGCGGGTCCACTGTCAGTTTTTAATTGTTAGGTATCCCCATATGAGCAACTGATGACAGACAATGTCACTGTACATGACCAGCTGTCTCACGTGTTTGGCATGTAGCATGCGGCATATAAGAATAAGTGTCTATAGTCACATGAACATAGGTAAGCTTACCAAAGGTTGCTATGTGTGTAACATCCATTTGCCAAATTTCATTTGGAGCCAAACCTCGTGGGTTACAGCCTTCTCCAGGGAGACATGCTGGCAAGTAGGACAGGTTTGTATTATAGCCCTAGCTTGGCTGCGAGATAAATGGAACATACAAGTAAGGGCAGAAGTATTTTGGTGCAGCAGTGCATGGGACACTCGAGTTTGCTGAAACACAGAACCAATCAATTTGTCTGCTTTTCATTACCTAGAGATAGCGGCCCAGAAAGTTGTGTGTGAGAACGAATATGAGAAATATGAAAAGGAGCTGCATGAGAGTGAATAACTTGTTGAAGTCTTAAAAATAAATTCAGCAGTTCTGGGTCTAGTGTACTTTTAATTGTAGCACTTTCTATGTGACTGGCTACATTTACAGCATAAGCTGAATCACAGACAACATTGATAGGATCTGAAGATGTGAGCTCCAAAACCTGAATGACTGCAATTAGCTCTGAGCGTTGAGCTAAAACCCGAGGTCATCATTATTTGAGTATGTTTTGGTCCATAAATAGCAGCACAACCTTTGGAATTGCCATCAGTAAAATAAATTTGTCCACCTGGAATAGGTTTGTGGTGAGAAATCACAGGAAGAATGAAAGAATGGATTTTATAAAACTGTAAAATTTTGTCTGAGGGGTAGTAGTTGTCACGTGCGTCCGTGTGAAGAGACCACCAACAGGCTTTGTGTGAGCAACAAGGCTGTTTATTTCACCTGGGTGCAGGCAGGCTGAGTCTGAAAAGAGAGTCAGCAAAGGGTGGTGGGATTATCATTAGTTCTTACAGATTTTGGGATAGGTGGTGAAGTTAGGAGCAATGTTTTGCCGGCAGGGGGTGGATCTCACAAAGTACATTCTCAAGGGTGGGGAGAATTACAAAGAACCTCCTTAAGGGTGGGGGAGATTATGAAGAAAGTTCTTAAGGGTGGGGGAGATTACAAAGTACATTGATCAGTTAGGGTGGGGCAGAAACAAATCACAATGGTACAATGTCATCAGCTAAGGCTATTTTCACTTCTTTTGTAGATCTTTAGTTGCTTCAGGCCATCTGGATATATATATGCAGGTCACAGGGGATATGATGGCTTAGCTTGGGCTCAGAGCCTGACAGTGGTTATCTATAGCACCTACGAAGTCTGCAAAAGCAGTTTGCCAGGCAGTTGACATTTCCCAAGCTGCGGCTTGTTGCTGGGAGTCTAAAGGAACAATAATTTTGTCAGGATCATATCCCATAAGCATTTTTGACCTATGCCTGCCCATAGTCACAATTTGTGTAATTAAAAAAAGATAAATTTGCAAGGTTTTGACTGTTTGATGAGGTAGAAAGAGCCATTCTGTTACTGTTACAGACTTGTCTATGAACTGGCCCCAAAGCCCTGTTGGAGAGTGGGGGGTAGAAAGAATAAACAAAAGCAAAGGTTTTTGCAGTTGTAGCCATGTGGCATGTCTTGCAGTAACATTTGCTCTACAAGCCGTAATTCGTAATTCGTAATTCGGCTTCTGCCTCTTTAGTTAATTGCTGCAGGGAATTTAAAGAAGAATCTCCTTGCAGGGTTTAGTAAAGATATGTGAGTCAATAGGTAGCAATACCTAACATCAGGTGTAGTCAATTAATATCTCCTAATAATTGTTGAAAATTATTTAAAGTCTGTGACCTGTCTTTATGGAGAACTACTTTCTGAAGTCGTACACTTACTTCTCTCTGTAACAACAGTTCCTAAGTGTTGGTATGGGGAAGTTGTACCTTTTCTGGGGCTATTTTGAGATTCTGTTTAGTCAAAGGCTGCTTTGTTCCTCTGAATAACTGATGTAGGATTTGATCTGTAGGAGCAGCCAAAAGAATATCATCCATAAAATGAATGATATAAGTAGTAGGAAACATATTCCGAGGCTCCTTTAATGCCTGTCCTACAAAATGCTGACAGCGTAGGACTGTTAATCATGACTTGGGGTAAAACGCTCCATTGATAATGAGAAACAGGTTCTCTTTGATTAATAGAAGGCACACAGAAGGCGAATCGAGGCTTATCCTTCTCGTGTAAGGATATAGTAAAGAAACACTCCTTAAGATCTATTACTACAAGAGGCCAGTCTTTTGGAATAGCCACTGGAGATGGTAAACTTTTTTGTAAGGCACCCATTGGTTTAATGTTTGCATTAACAGCTCTTACATCATGTAGCAGTCGCCATCTTCTGGACTTTTTTGGAATAACAAACACGAGAATTCCAGGGGCTGACTCCTCTTTGTGTCCGGTGTCCCATTGTTCTTTTACTAGCTGCTGAAGTTGCATCAGCTTCTCCTGAGATAGGGGCCATTGATCCACCCATACAGGTTTGTCACTGAGCCATTCTAATGGTAAGGCAGTGGGCGGCGGAGAAATATCAATGACCCCCATCAGAAATCCTGACGTCCTAGCCCTTTTCTGTTTTTGCAGTTACTGATATTGGGTTAGGATTTCCTCGTAGAAATTTTCCTAAACCTTTTCCATTCTGATATCCCATGTTCTTCAACATTTTAAATCCTGGGTTATCAAAGTTTTCATTTGTAAGTCTCATATCCCAAGGTGTAACTAAGTTTTGACCCCATAAATTGATAGCTATATTTGCGACATAAGGCTGCAAAGTACACGACTGTTCATCCAGACCAAGACAAGGTAAAATCTCAGGGCTCTGTTGAACACTTTGAGCTGTTCCTTTCCCACTAAGGATGTAGAAGTTAATTGCAAGGGCCAGGATGGGGGCCATTGTCTTTAGATGTTACTGATACATCAGCTCCCGTATCCATAGGCCCATAACATTTCTTTCCTTTAATTTGTACCCACAGGTGGGTCTATTTAGAGGCTATTGGTTGTGATAGATTTCTCATGTAGTTGTGCTCCCAAACCCTTTATTTTCTCCTTTCTCCTTTCGTGGAGAAGGGTATAATTTGCAACGAATAAGCATAATTGAGCAAAGATCTCCCGATTCAAAAACCCAAAGATCTTGTGACATTAAAACTACTTGAATTTCTCCTTCATAATCAGAGTCAATCACTCCTAGGACTACAGTGATGCCTTGCAAATTAAGACGACTTTTGCCTAAAATTAGTCCTGTGTATCCTGTTTGTAAAAGTCCCCAAATACCAGTGGGAACTTGGATAGGTTTGTCTCCCCTGACTAATGTGATTCTTTCTCTGGCGGGTAGCTCTAATCCTGCATTTCCTGGTGTTCCTGGGGTGAGGGAATCAATATGCCTCCAGGAACCCATCCCTCAAATGGGGTTGAGGTCTGGACTGGGAATGCCCTCCTTGTTTGTGGGGCCCGGGGCCAGGCCCATGTCTTGTTTCCCGGCAGGAGGGTGCCATTCTGATGAAATTTTGAGCGGCACTGATTGGCCCAGTGATTTCCTTTGTTACAGTGAGCACACAGTCCTGGTGTTTTTTTCCGTTGGGTGGGGCACTGCGTTGTAAGGTCCTTTCCGTTCTGAGATATGGCGGCATTCCTTTTTAAAATGTCAGTTTTTCCACAATTATAACATTTTCCCATTTTAGGGTTTGACCCTTGGCTCCTTTTAGATTTGTCAACTGCTAAATTAGCCATTGCTTGCACTAACATTGCACAGCAATGAAGCTCAGTTCCTGCATCCTGACAAGCTCAGAAAATTTCCCAAGTTTTTTGTACACCTCACTGGTGCCATCACACATTTACAGTTCGCGTTTGCATTCTCAAAAGCTGGAGCTAAGGTTAGCATTTCTGCAGCCACGGTATGAGGAATCTGACGCTTCACTGCCTCTTGTAATCTTGCAAGAAATTGCACATAGGGTTCCAATGACCCTTGCATGATATGTAAAAATGATTGTACTGGGACTCCCTCTTCAGGAATTGTGGCCCAGGCACATTTAGCAGCCTGTGCACACTGCTGATAAGTGGCATCTGGGAGTGCCATTTGACATTCCAGGTCTGAATAAGGACCATTACCTAACAGCATATCCTCTGTAACGTCTCCATTTCTAGCAGCATGGTTCTGCCTAGCCTGGTCTGCACACATTTCTTGCCAATTTAAATTCCATGTCAGATATGCGCTAGCCGACAAGCAAGTTCGCACCAAGTGTTTCACATCAAAGGGTAAAAGACGCATAGCAGCAAACACAGATTCTAGCAATCTTAAGGTGAATGGGCTCTGTACACTATTATTTACCACACTTGCTTTTAATTCCTTTAACAACTTAAACTCTAGGGGAGTGTGTTCATGAATAACCTGCTGTGGCTTATTTGGATCAGCCCTTACAGAAATAGGAAAAGTGCAAGGTCCTAAGGGCTCTCCAGCTATGGCAGCAAAGCATAACATTCTTTGTATTGGGGTTTCTATTTCTGCTATCAAAGGAGGTGTTTCAGATGTTTCTGCAACTGGAGGAGGCGGTATAGGCCAATTTTTATCCTCCCTCTCCTCTTTTTTATTTTCAATTGGAACTGTGGGTGGGACAACAGATTCTTTCAGATTTTTAGATTCAGCCTGCTGTCCTGCAGAATAATGAGGAGATAATGGCGGAAGTATAGTACGAGCTAAACTCCACGTGGAGAAAACTGAAGAATCAACTTTAAGACCTTTTTGATGAGCCTGTTTTAATCCTTCTCCTGCTCTGTCCCAATTTTCCACATCAAGACCGCCTGCCTGTGGAAACCATGTGTTATGTGTAATAACCTCCTGCAGCAGCTTAGTCAATGTCTGAGAACTAACCTGAGGACCAGTTCATTTCAATAAAACTTTCAGCAACTGCACATAATGTTTTTCTCCAACAGACAAATTCTGCTCCGTGTTATCCTGATTCAGAAAACTTTCCATTCCCAGTACTTCTTTAAAGCACTGCTCCCAGTACCTCTTCAGGGCACTGACCTTATCTCCACTGCGGGCAGACTCATCCCGGGGTCCCCATTCGCCTTGTCAATTTCAGTTTCTCTGTTCCAGCAGATCTTCTTCATTCATGTCCTTGAAGTCCTGTGTTCAGATGCTACTATGTAACCCGCACAGATATAGGGGGAGTGAACAAAGGGGGGCGAACGTGGGAATAAAAGACAAGAGACAAAAGAGTATATTTGGAAGAAGGGGCCGGGGGACACCTTGCCTGTAGTGGACAAGGGCCCTGAGCTTTACACAGCCCTCTGTATTTATTAGGCAAAAGAGATGGGAGAAAGGGGGAGTGATTGTTGGGTAATTGCTGTTTGGTTCACAGCAGGCTTGCAAGACTGCAGCCTTTGAACAATAGGTGCCAGACTTCTCAATAGATAACTTCAAAGAGCCCGGTGCCAGGGAGTGATATCCCTCTGCAAACCTTTTGGTGGCAGGCGCAGTGTGAGTTTGCTCACATCGTGCATTCGTGATAAACAGTTTGCTTGATCATATAGCCTCAAGTGGAATGCTGAGTTGGTCACGTCCCACGGGCCTTTGGCTCCCTACAAGTGAGGGTAGTTCAATGCTATTATTTAATTGTCAGACATAAGTAACGTTTGTGCCTGTCCTATATCTGGCTTTTGTTTTAAGGACAAATTGGACTTTTAAAATTAATAACATCTTTTTTTATTGTGGTAAAATATATATAGCACAAAATTTACCATTTTAATTATTTTTAAACATACAGTTCAGTTGCCCTAAATATATTTATATTGTTGTACAACCATCACCACCATTCATTTCCAGGACTTTTTCTTTTCCCCAAACTGACATTCTGTACCCATTATACCGTAAGTCCCCATTTCTGCCTCCCCCTACCCCCTGGGCAATCTCGTTCTACTTTCTGTTTATGAATTTGATGACTCTAGGCATCTCATATAAGTGGAATCATACAGTATTTTACTTTTGTGACTGGCTTATTTCCCTCAGCATAATGTTCATCCACTGTGCAGCAAGTGTCAGAATTTTCTTTCTTTCCGAGGTTGAATAATATCCCATTGTATTTATATACCACATTTTGTTCATACATTAATAACATAATCTTTAAGGGGTCAGAGCTTGGAAAATAGATTTCATTGATCAAATTACTGTCACGTTATAGTAGTCTGACAAAGGAAAATATATGTGATATTGAAATACTTCCAAAGTGAATATCGAAATCATTCCCTAATGAAATTGCATAAGGTCCCAACAAACCATTTTCTTTTCTTTAGGAATGACTTGAACAGTATATTCTCAGAATTGAAGATATTTCCTGATCTATATTCAACATGTCTAGTTTAGTGACTTTCTTTTTTTTTTAACTTTTTATCTGGCAGTTTTGACATGCATAGAAAAAATACAAAAAAGTCATATTTCTTCAATTTAGGAATAGTAATAGCTCTCATTTATTAAGCACTTACTCTTTGTGAGGAGCTGAAAATGTGTTTTCCATATATTATCTTACTTATTCTTCATGGCTGCTCTATGATGCAAGTCTTATAATCTTCATGTCCCAGATGTGGAAATTGAAGCCTAGGATGTTAAGTAACTTACCTAAGTTATCTATAAAAGGTAAGTGGCGGAGTCAGAATTTGAGTCCAGATCTCTCCAGCTTCAAAGTTCTTACTCCTAATTGCTCTTCTACACTGTCTCCCCATGCTAATTACTCTTATTGAAGGCTGGGTAATGTTTCTATTATCTGAGGACAAATAATGCCCAATTATATATATAAATTGTACCTTATTTTTCCACAAATATTTACTGATACGTCAGGTTCAGCACTTGGACTTGGGTTTAGACAGATAAACAAAATGTGAATAAAATACAACCTGTATGTTCTAGGCACTTTCCCAGTCTAGTGGGGATCATGTAAACAGATATATTACAACCTTACGAAAGCCAATAGTAATTAAACATGCTTAGCTTTATAGGACTTAATTGCCTATCTCTACTTTTTTTTTTTTTTTTTTTTTTTTACCACATAGAATTTAATATAATGATTTTCATCCTGGTAAACTATGGGTTATTTCACAGAGTATCAAAATTAGTTTAAATTCGTTTTAATTTAAAAAATAAGATATATGTCATATACCATCTCTTTGGAGCATAATAATAATAGGATATGCAACTCCAAAATAATTGGGAGTCACTGGGGAATAAGCCTTAGGTAGACCTTGATAAAATCATTAGTGGATAGATAATATGCTACTCTCCCTCTTCCTTTCACTCTTTAGATGCTGAATGAGAAAAAAGAAGAGTTTACTGGGGATGTTCTCCTGTCAAAATATGATACTCTCAAGATTATTAAACATTTACAGGAAAACTGGACAGATATTGGGCTTGGGATATTTAATCGCCATAAAAGTTTGGAGGGGGAGATGCCATCAGAGCGACAGTACATGGAGGAAATTATCAAAAACATACAAAAACTCTACAAAGAATATGAAATAAGAATAAATGGGGACAATGGTAAGAAAATACTCATAATAATTAGACTTCTTGGTATAAAATGTTTCCACAATTATTTTCAATACAATTAATATTTAAAATAAAAGTAATACATGCATATAGTTTTAAAAACAAAGCAAAATAAGCAAAGCATTGAGCATCACTTTGAGATATAATTTATATACCTTACAATTCACCTATTTAAAGTGTATAATTCAATGATTTTTAGTATATTCACAGATGTGTACATCTATTACCACTGTCAATTTTAGATTATTTTCATCAAAATAAACCTCAAAAGAAACCCCATACTCTTTAGCTCTCACCCTCTTACCCCCAACATCGTCACTTCAGTCCTAAGTTTGCTTTCTGTCTCTATAGATTTCCCTGTTCTGGACTTTCATGTGAATGAATTCATGTACTGTGTGATCTTTTGACTGGGTTCTCTCACTTGGTATAATGTTTTCGATGTTCGCTCATGTTTTAGCATTTATCAGTACTTCACTCATTTTTATGGCCTAATAATATTTTGTTGTATGTATCTATCACATTTCATCATTTCATCTGTTGGTAGGCATTTGGGTTGTTTCCACTTTTTGACTATGATGAATATTGCTGATATAGACGTTTATTACACGTTTCCTGGTAGAAATATGTTTTCATTTTCCTTGGATATATGCACAGGAGTGAAATTCTTGGTCATTTGATAACTGTATCTTTAACTTTTTGAAGGCTGCCACACTGTTTTCAAAGAGGCCGCGTCGTTTTGTATTCCTACCAGCAGTGTATGAAGGTTCCACTTTCTCTGCTTGCGTGCTAGAACCTGTCTCACTTTTAAATTCTGTTCATACTAGTGGGTGTAAAATAAAATCTCACTGTGGTTTTGATTTGTGTTTTCCTGATGACTACTGATGTCAAGCATTTTTTAAAGGTTTATTAGCCGCTTGTGTATTTTCTTTGCAGAAATGTCTGTTCAGGTCCTTTGCCATGTTTTTTTCCTAAGACAAAAATTGAGATTTATGCTATTGATTTATAACATGTATAGAAAGAAAAGCAATTTTCCAAGGTTTCATACTACCAGAGAACAGATACCATTGTTCAACATTGATGAATATTGTGTGTTATTGTGTGCTATTACCACTTGTGTTGGAATTCTAGACAAATGTCCACCAGCTGACAATGTAACTCTTTGAAAATGTCAAACAGAATGAGACCTATCTGAGATATTAGTCTGTGAAATAACATTCTGGGTAAGTGGTTCTCAAACTTTAGTGTGATTAGGGATTTGGTGAAGCATGCAGATTCCTGAGCCCTGCCTCCAGTCTTCTTGGTACACTGTGTCTACAGAGATACCCCTAAACTGGCAATTTTAGCAAGCATCCCAGGTGATTCTGATGCCAGTGGTCTACATATCATACTTTAAAAAAAATGTCCTTTATTGGGAGTCCGTTAGTAGCTAGGTCTAACATAAATGTAAAACACCCTTTCACACACTCTAATGATTCTTTGCCCATATTTTATTTAGGTTGTCTTTTTATTATTGAGTTATAAGACTGCTTAATATGTTCTGAATACAAGTCGCTTTTCAGATATGTGAATTCTAAACAGTTTATCTTTTTCTGTGGGTTGCCTTTCCGTTTTCTTGATAGTGTCCTTTTTTTTTTTTTTTTTTCCTTAACAGAGAATAAATAAGTCATGTTTAATGCTTCTAGCCTGGTAAAATAAAAAATTAAACATAATCTCTCTATATTTTACTTTTTAAAAATTGATTGAAAGTGTGTTACATGTTAATGGGGTACATGTGAGTATTTGTTACATTCATAGAATGTGTAATGAGCAAGGTCAGGATATTTGGAGTATCTATTATCTTGAGTATTTATCCCTCCTATGTGTTGGGAACATTACAAGTCCTCTCTTCTAGCTACTTTGAAATATACTCCATCTACAATGTTGCTAACTATAGTCACCCTTCTCTCTTACTGAATACAGGGGTATATTTGTTCTATCTAAGTGTATGTTTTTACCCACTAATCAACCTCTCTTTATCCCGTCTCCCACCCACACACCTTTCCCAGCATCTGTTATCATTCTATTCTCTATCTCCACAAGATCAGTTTTTTAGGTCCCACATATGAGTGAGGACATGCAGTATCTATCTTTCCATGCCTGGCTTATTTCACTTCACACATTAACCTCCAGTTCCATCCATGTTCATATTTAGCTTTAATTTTAAATAACCATTAAGTGAATTTCCATAATCTGATTTTTGTGTATTTAAAATAGTCTTGTCTCTTCAAATACTAATTTTGAATGGAAATATTCATTGGAAATAGGTGTAGATTCTACAGTGGCACAGAAAATTCCAAAGGAAGCTGCAGACTATGTAAAAAATACGTGTTTTAAGCAATGAAGTTGAAGAAAGGTTCAACTTACTAGAGGAGGCATCATGCCCTTGCTTGAAGAGGGGATGACAACTCAAAGGTCTGGTTTTCTACTGTTCGTTCCAAGCTTACCGCCACCTGGTGGAGGGGGAGACTTTGTAGGCGTGACTTTGCCTAAACTATTTGCACCAGTAGCTCCAATCAAATTTGGAGAAGCTCTTGAGTTTACAAATCCATTCCCCACTGGGCTGCTTCCAGCTCCATTTGGCACTGTGAGGTCTGTAGTACCCAACATCCCACCTGCATTGCCAGTACCTGGTGGTCTCTGAGGAGCTCCATGGGACACATGTCTTATAATATGGTTTGATGTGGAGAGAGCATGTTTGAATCTGTTAACGTTGAGCTGGCTGCCAAAGATGGGGACACGAGTGAACTCCCTGGGTTAGTGTAGGACAAAGCATTGGGGCTGGTCACTGGAGCTGTGACAGACATTGAAAAGTTCTGAGGTGGCAAACCAGGTGCGATGCTATGATTCCACATCATATTATCAAATTCCTCATTAATTTTTTTATGTTTTTCTGTATGTGGAGTTAGCACATATGAAGTATCAGGGTCTGAACTGTCGCACCCTCTGTGTTCCTTCTTGTTCAGAGCC